GGGAATCACCACTTTAAACTATCATTACATCACTAGCATAAAAATAATATTTCATTTTTCACTAAAGAAACCCCTTTTGCTTATTCAGTGAAATTAAAGGAAATAATTTAGTATTTTACCAGGTATAAACCATCAGTTTCCCTACAGCTGTATTAGGTATATTAGCTGAGTATGGAAGTGGTGGAAATAGAGCTAAAAAAGTACTGGAAGAAGTTAAAGAAATTTAGGGTTTTGGATGGGGTTTTTTTTGTGTTTGGTTTATTTATTTCTTAAAAAGGAACTAAACCAGTGTGAGACCCTACATTTGAATATTAAAAGGAAAGGGGGTGGGGATGGACATCAATAACAAAATAGAAAGGACTGTGTCCCTAATAGAACTTGTCTGCATCAGGAAAGTATCTGTAAAGTGTTATGGTTTTGGGGGTGTTATTTTTTAGCTTTTCTTGTAGTTCTACTAATCGAACATGTATGGCAAACAAAGAATCAGGACCACAGGGGTAAGCTTTGAAAATATAGCCCCAAAAAGGTGCACAGACATTTCTGAGAGCACAAAGGTTGGCATACATTTGGCTTTAACCTAACATAGAGTCTTAAAAGCTGACTGTGTAGGTGTACATCCAAACTAACTGAAACTCGGTACAAACATCAGTATTGGTGTAGCCTGGGTAATGCAGGTCTACTTTGAGCAAACCGGCAACTACAGAACACAAAGTAAATTCTGCACATCTTTGTAGTTTTCATGACAGGAAGAAAAAAACAAATGTTTTTTATTCTCTTTTTGTTTAATTTGAATCTTTTTTTCAGATTGAGACATAATGCTGTCTAAAATCTTATCAAGAATTTCAAATGAACGCAGATTTTTTAAAAAATATCGCATGTAAGAAGAATATTAATACTAAATGCATAATTTAAAATAAATTAACATTAATTTAGAAAGAAACACTAATTTTATGAATGTCAATAAAATTCTTCTTCAGTTTCTTGGCTAACAGTAATAACATATATAAAATATAATGAAGCACAATAAGAAAGTAAATATTGCCCATGTTAGTATCAGCCTTGTTCATAACAGTTAGAAAACAAGAGACTTACCTGCTGATTTTGTTGTAAAGTCATGTATTACAGTTTTTCCCCAAAATTCTTCATTATTATATTTGCTCTTTGTAAATGGAGTCACAGATACAGAACCTCTGGCATAAGGTGTTAAGTTAGAGCAATCAGACTTAGTCACAGTGACATTCTTGTTCTCTTTATGAAAAAATGAGAAATGAAATTCATTAATGAAATTGATGTTAGAACCACAGGAACTATTACACTTCATCGGAGCTACCTGAAACCACTGTCATTTGTACTTTTATTTTAATTATCTTGTACTTGGTTTGTCTTGCTTACTAATGCTAAGTGAAGGCTCAGGAAGAGGAATACATATATTCTCAAATCAAAAAGGTAGAAAATTGAGGTTTTGTTCTGTTTTGTTTTTTACTTTCTCAGCTTTTGGTGGGAATGGGTGAATTTAATTAAAAACTAACATAAAGCTCATTGATAAAGAGAGGCTGATACTTTCTACTGTGTTCAGCTTGGGAAGGCGTGTGTAGACAAATGTCAAAAGTCACTGCACACTGGGCAAGTCTGTTCTGGTATGATGCAAGAGATGTCATGTGCTTTTGGTAGCGGCAGCAGGACAAAGGAATTGCACAAGAAGCAATGTGAGCAAAGCTATTACCCACACTGCAGCTGGGGCTTTGGTGGCTTGGAGAACTGGGGAGCAGTGGCCTTTCCATGTTTCCTTCAGGCAGCTTCAGATGTGACCTCCCTGCACCCCAGTATACTACTTTGGTCTCCTACACTGGCCAAACTGGAACCACAGAAACTGGTGCACAGGGCTGCCACCCTTTTGGGTAGTGGGGCAGGGAGAATGGGAGAGAATATGTGTATCTGAGGAGCACAGGAGAATGACAGCCTTTGCTCTCTGTGGCAGTCCAGGTTTACAAATCACGCAGTATGTGAACAGAAAGAATGAATTAACCCTGGACTAGCTTAAACTTGACATATATTTCCTGGAATCATGTACCAGGCTTTTCAATTTCAAAACATGATTTTCCAGTCCATGTTTTGAAGAAGAGCTCACACCTGGAAAACATGGTATAACAGATGCAGATTTATCCATCTAAATGGAAGGTCATCTAAAACAGCACATCTGAAAGGAGTGACCACTTAGTAGAAGACATCTACCTGGATTTACCTATCTAAACATGTATATGCTAACTGCCATACTTAGGACTACTGACTTTGAAATACAATGTTGTCACTCAGAAAGCAGGTCCCTGTCTTCTCAAAGAATATATTAGCCAGCTATAGCAGCATTTTCTGTGACAGAGAGCATCATGGTACGAACTGATAAGGCAACTGATGATCTTGTCATAAATTATTCTTGATACAAGAAGCATGAGAACTAAAGGGTGATGGAGTTGTGTTCTGAAATGGTAAACTGAATAACCACATGGTTCAACTGAAGCAACGTCAAAAGAAACTTAAACGTTTGTACTGATAAATAAATTTTAAAAAGCATCATTTGAAGAGATTCCAATATGGTTTGACATACCAGCAGTGTGCCCAGGTGGCCAAAAAGGCCAAGGGCATCCTGGCATGTATCAGCAATAGCGTAGCCAGCAGGGACAGGGAAGGGATCTGACCCCTGTACTCGGCACTGGTGAGGCCGCCCCTCAATTCCTGTGTTCAGTTTTGGGCCCCTCACTACAAAAAGGACATTGAATGACTCGAGCGTGTCCAGAGAAGGGCAACAAAGCTGGTGAAGGGTCTGGAGCACAGGTCGTACGGGGAGCGGCTGAGGGAACTGGGGGTGTTTAGTCTGGAGAAGAGGAGGCTGAGGGGAGACCTCATCGCCCTCTACAACTACCTGAAAGTAGGTTGCAGAGAGCTGGGGATGAGTCTCTTTAACCAAGTAATAAGCGATAGGACAAGAGGTAACAGCCTCAAGTTGTACCAGAGAAGGTTTAGACTAGATATGAGGAAGCATTTCTTTACAGAAGGGGTTGTTGGGCATTGGAATGGGCTGCCCAGGGAGGTGGTGGAGTCCCCATCCCTGGAGGTGTTTAAGAGTAGAGCTGACATAGCGCTGAGGGATATGGTGTAGTTGGGAACTGTCAGTGTTAGGTTAATGGTTGGACTGGATGATCTTCAAGGTCTTTTCCAACCTAGATGACTCTGTGATTCTGTGACAGTGCATCATGCTTGGTGCTCTGTAAATATTAAAACAAGCAATGAATTACGCAGTACTGAAGAGGCATATATTTACCTGTGTTATTGCATTTCACTATATAGCCATCTATAGGACCCTTTGAATGATTGATAGGTTCCTCCCATGTAACTGATACATTTCTGGCATCACAAACTACTGTAAGGTTTTCTGGTGCTTCTGGAGCTGTGTAAAAGAAAAATAACAGGGAGGGAAGGAAATGTTTGAAAGAAAATGCAAAAATACTCAAATTTTTACCTACTTTGATTAAATTAAATTGCATTGGGTACTTAAGCAAGGTACCAACCATACAATATTTTTCATAGTCTATTTGAAGAAATTATACATAAGTATAAATTGAGTATCATATTAGAGTAATTGCATAAATTTAATTCAGAACAAGGTGAATACAGCAATATTACATATTACTAAAATTGTCCAACATCTCCAAATATTATACATTGTTTTGATTTTAATTTGCAGGTTCTTTCATTTAAGTTGATTTCCTTTTTAATTCAGAAAAAAACCCTAAGCTATTTCCAAGGACAACAATTTGGAAAAACACATAATTTTTATCCGGACACATTCTTTGCAATTATTCTGTCACAACTTTCTTGAAATCAAGAATTTAACATCTGGGTTTGACTAGGCCTGCACTTTTTTTTTTTTTTTTTTTTTTTTTTTTTTTTTTTTTAAGAGTGGCTGAGCATGCTGCTCAAAATATATATTCAACCCCAGGAAACACAGATAGTGGGATTCATAGTAGGGGTTTCCAGAAATATGTGAAAATAAAACAAAATAAGCATTACACTTACCACCATAATCTGTTTCTATGGTGAACTTTTGGCTGACAAATTCCTTTTCAAAAACCCTTAAAGTAGCAGTGCAGTTGTACTCATGGTTGGGTGATAAATAGTTCAGCTGTTTACAAGTTTGATTAAACGCTATAAAGTTTGTTAAATCTGTAGACACAAAAAGAGTTTTATCAATATTTTACACAACTCCAGAAGTACATGGTACCATCTTAACTGGGATTTTCTCTACCATATTTGTTCAACATAATTTTTAATAAACTATCATAATATTCCAAACACAAAAGTGTACAACCTAACCCAATGACTAGGCTTTAATCTAGGTTCTTTTATACTAAATTAGTTTGTATAGATCTTTAATTTTCATCAGTAAAGCTCGTATGATCTGACTTTCTAAGAAAACAGTTTTCCCACAGAAATCAAAACATTTCATGGGAGTCTGGCAGAACCCTGGAGTGGCTTCTTAGCTCTTCAGCTCCCTGAAACATGACATCCTCAGCCCCAGACATTCATCACATTTTTTTGGGACACATGAGGACATCCAGTATCCATATCTTCCTTACCACCCTAGCTGCCTTTGAACCAGTGTCTCCTCAGACTGGCCAGCTCCAAGAGCAGAGAACCAGCTGCCCAGGTAATCTGCAAGCGATCAGCTCACAGCAGACCCATAGATTGCAGGATTTCCAAACTCTCATCTCCCCTTCAGACCATCAAGCAGGATCTCCAGAAGCCTGCAGTTCGTAAACTCAGGAAATGAGCTCTCTGGGTTTGAACTTTCCCCAGATCTGCAGTGTGTGTGGATGGTAGTCCCCAGCCTGGCAATCCCAGAAATTCTGAACAGCCCTTCCCTCAAAATGGCAGTCCTTCATCAAAAGATAACATCAACATTGCTTTTAAAAATAAATAAATGAATTAAAAAAACAAATTGTAAAATATCTTAGAAGTGTCTTACCTTTGCAACTAATATTAGCAGTCACATTAGCACAGCTAAGTGAGTCTTCCCAACATAACTTTGCAGATGTGCTGGTTTCATTCTTAACCTTGAAAGGAGTCTTGCTGCTCTCTGAAAAGGATTAATACTGTATGTCGCTGTGACACTGGCTATATTGATTCCTTAAACAGCAATTTATTCTTTTATATTTGTTAACTTGTTCTGCGACAAGAAGATATAATTGGCACAGAATACTATACAAAGAATTTATTAAGAAATGGAAAATAAAAATTGAAAAAGCCTACATGAGATAAAGACACTGCTGGTATTCAAATAATAAATGAAGCTTTCAATTCAACAAACTCTTTAGTGCACAAAACATCTAGCACAAACAGTAACATTCAAGTGCTGGCTGATCTTGCTATTGTTAACCATGCTGCAGATGGCCAACGTAGTTAAAGTTCCTTTTTTTCATTTACAATGAGAAAATGACTTTTTTTTACTTCCTACTTTAAGAAAATACTGAGAGGTAAAAAAAAAAAAAAAAAAAGTTAAAAAAAGAAGAAATTACTATACTCCTTTTATACCTACCAGGCGGAATAATAAGGTATTCTTTGCAATTTTCAACTTTATATCTCATGCATCTCTGAAGTTTTACTGTACTGGAATTCACACTAAAGATCTTGTTAGTCCCCACAATAGCATATTCTCTGTTTTTTGTGAGATTTGCCAGTGTAACTTCAGCCATGTTATTCTCATCTTTTATACGTGCTATGCTGAAGCCTAAAAGAAAAATAATAAAATAGCAAATAATTATTTTATGACAATTTTTAAGAATCATTACATGATTTATGTCATCCCCAGCACCATATGTGTTTTAAGAATCAGAAAATACAGCAAAATTGTGTTTGATTTTTCTTTTTATTTATCTTTCACTTAAAAAAATTGTTTAGTCAAAACAGAAAACTTCCTTAGGAAAATATTCTTTGAACTAATTCTCTAGCTAGGAAAACTAAATAATTAAAAAGATTAATATTCCAGAACCAGATTTGCTTTAATTTAAAATGTCAGTTCAATGTGAAATACTTTGTTTTGTCACATTCAATCATTTGTTTGAACTGAAATTCCAAATTTTCTTGTTCAAAGAATTTCATAACCATTTTGTAAATAATGACTATAGTCTATTCCTGAAAATTAGAAAAGAGAGGTCTCTAATTCTGAAGAGAGAGAAACCAGTGTCCAAACTTTAGTCTTACTTTAGTTATGAATTGCAGTTTGCAGCACATGTTTATTAGCCCGATGGGGAAAAATTAGAGAGGGCCTAGTGGAATGAAAGCAGATCTCTTCTGCAGCCCTGAAATCAACAGCCTAGTACAGTCAATTTAACAGAACTGTAAATGGAGTTGAGAAGACCAGAAATGATAATAACTTTAATCCTACTCTTTCATAATTGGAAGACAGTTTATAAAATAACTTGAGATGAGACTGAGGAAAAATAATGGGTTTGGTTCTTACCACAAGACTCTTCAGTTGTTGCTGTGGTAGCTGCTATACAAAAAGAAAACAAAATGAAGGTTTAGCTCAGTAGGTTTGGTTGTTGTTTGTTTGTTTGTTTGTTTGTTTTCCCAGAGTATTGGACAAAACTTATAATTCAATATATTCAATACAAGTAATAGTATTTAGCACTCCACTCACATTTGAAAAAGGGAAGAAAACATCAGCTACCTATAACCCAATTTTTTAACTAGCTATTTTAGGGATCATGTGTCTTACATCATTTTCCAATTACATCACTGGCTACAAATCAAACTGGTTATTAATAACATTTCTGTATTCTAGTTACACAGGAATATTTCAAAATCACATATTCTGATAGCAGTATGATAAGCTATAGCAGTTTCCCTATGATAAACCATAGCAGGATAAATATGCTGTGGAACACCTAACTGAACAGTATCCAATGTCAATAAACAAACAAAGTTTATCTGCTTTTTTACACAGCTACTCTTACCTTTGGAAAGAGGTGTATGCAACAGTACAGATCATTTTACAACTATTTTTACACTGAAATACCCCAAAGAAATTATGAGCTTGTATTTAGAAAATCTGTATGGAAGCTTGAGCAAAGAACTTAATCCTGAAAACAATTACTTACTATCTTAAAAGTATTACCAAAAGAAACTGATTTTTTTTTTTTTTTTTCATAGAAGATGGGCCCTAGATTTGCATCCCTCCAAGATGGGTGTCTTCTGGCTGAGTAGTGCCCCTAATGAGAGAGTAAACTGAGAGTGTCCAGTGGAGAGTTACCAAGATGGTTAGGGGCAGAAGACCCACAAGTAAAAGCTAAGCTCACAAAGAGCTGATAGCAGCCTACAAATACTCGAAGGGCAGTTACAAAGATGGTAAGAGTCCAACTCCCAAATGTACTTTGCTCAAGCACACACATATGTTTTACTGACCTGAGTAATTTCTTACTTCCCAATTGCAATAATAATGTGTGTTAGTGCTTACAATATTAGGTCCCAAGAAAATGTTTATGGTGAGTGAAACAAAAGGGAAGCCACTGGAAAACAGAGAAGCACACAGATCTTGGATGTATTCATAATTTTTTGCTGCTTGGGCAAATTTCTGCAAATATCAAGAGGAGTACTGACACAGTAATTGACAGATTTGCCCTCCTACTATGCCACTGTGTGGAAATAATTTCTATTTTTCACTTGGTGGACAAGTAGCAAGTCTAATATCTTTAATATTACTCATAAACTATTAAGATTCCTAAAAATCTCTTCAATCTATTGCAGTTGTATGACTAATTTGTATGCCTAAGTTTGATAAAAGAAATTCAAACCAGATTCCCTCATTCTAACAAATTTTTGGTGCTTGCAGTATCATAATTGTGATAACTGTGTGCAAGTTTGTCACCTATTGTGTGATTGGGGCTGATCCCAATGTTTGCTGGCATGCTGACTGGTGAGATGGTGCTGTGCAAGGATGTTGAATTGTAATCATCTGTAAGAAAATAAACAACATATCAGCATTAAAAAGTAGAATTCACTATTTCATATAGCTAGTCATCAGAAATGTCTTAAACTACAGCCCTTCTCAGCTTTTTTTTTTTTTCCTTCTGGGGTTTTTGTAATTTAGAAAAGAGTGCTGAAAGAAAAATCATGTTAATATATTCAATAAAGCAGAAAATGAGTATCTAAATAGAAAACAAATCTTTAGGAATATACCACTTACTGAAGAATTTTGCGATGTACAAGGACAATTTGTTTTGGTCATTATTTAGGCATAATCCAGGCCAGGATCAGCTTAAAAATGGCGTCAATAATTGTGAACTGGGAAAAACTAAAATATTTTGCCATGTTCATCAGCAAAACACAATTATGAATAGTACTCATGCTCTTCCAGAAACAAGCACTCCAGCAGTGTTCATTTGCTAGATCACAGAACTTGCTCACTATTACTTACTATAAATATCTCAGTACTTATCTCCCTGTTTATAAACCACTGACAGTTTTCTACATTCTCTTTTAGGTCCACTCCTATTGCTCTTGCTTTGGCAACAGCCTCATTGCCAGCAGCTGGCATTTTGATACTACTGTGTGACTACAAGACTTGGCCATCAGACACCAGATCCTAGAAAAAATTCTGGTATTGCCACTGTGTCAAATTGCAGATACCTTTTCCACTTGATGGACCATAATCTGGAAAAGGCTACCCTGAGGCTGAATTACTTAGCTTTCCTCTACAGTTCAGAAGCAGTGAGTGGCATCTGAAGGAAGATGGCAAACCTGATGAAGCATTCTTGAAGGCAATGGGAGTGCGTGTGGTGAGGGCAGCAGTGCTGCTGTGTGGTGGGTTGCTGAGTCCCATGGCAGGGACGGAGCCTGCGTGCGTGGACAGATATGTGCTGTCTGCAGAAGAGACACCTGTGGTGAGAGGTACAGCAGTTTCATTAATGCTCTGGAGGCTTTCCAGTCAAGGAGGGACACAAAGCTGCACAAAACAGAGGGCTGCTGTGCTGGAGCACTCTTGTATTGAGTGCTGTGAATCTGTTAGTAAGCAAAGGCTCAAGGTGTTAGGGGGTCCAACAGGTGTCAGCTGAACATCCAGAGAGTATAATCCTTTGTGGTGCTGATTGCACCTCTTTTATGCTAAATGCTGCGTTTTAAAATATACTCAAATTTATGACTCGGAACCAGACTTGTCTGATATTCTTGCCTCTTAAGACAGCACATTTCATTTCACTGAGCTGAAATGAAAAGGCATTACACACTTTGTGAGATAACTGTACACAGGAAAAGGAAAGAAGAAATTACCACAAAAAAAAAAAAAAAAAAAAAGTTCTGTTGTGTGAATTAAAAGTTTCTTACCAGGTGTAGTCGCTGCTGACTCAACTCCTTAAAAAAAAAAAATGAGAGAGAGTGTAAATTAAACTTTTACAGAATTAAACACAATCATATGCCAAAAATATAAAAAGAAACATTCCTTCCTCGCAACTATCAGCTGAGCTGATTCCCAGGGAATTACACATTCTTAAGTTATATTTAGTAGCATGTAACAACAACCAGACCCACAAAATATCATGCATATGATACTGTCCACATTAAAAATGATTTTTCCTTGAGCCAGGAGTCTGTGCTGTGCAGCCTGAGGGGTAGAGACAGCATCAGGAAGGCTGTGGTGGATGTCAGTTCAGCTGAACAGGAAAAGGGCAGCAATGCCATGGTCTTGAATTCACCGTTACCTTCGGTGGTGCCTGGAGGTGAGAATGATGTGGAGTGTGCAGGCGGAGGTGACGTAAGGGAAGGAGAGCTGGTGTTTGCCAGATTTTCTTTTCCTGCTGCACAGTGGAGAAAAAGTATCAGCAGGTGACCAATGCATGAAAGTGAGAAGTTCAGTTACAAGCAGAAAGACTACCACCCGCTTTCTGAATTACATTTAGCCCTGCAGCACTGTCAAAAAGAACACATTTACATTGCTCTGCAGTTGCTGCACAGGCTGTGGAACGCATCTCCTTGGATTTATTACAAGAGCATGGCTTGCGATTAAATCTGCGACTGCTAATTCCCAATTCCTACCAATTTGTCTATGCTGCCTTTGTGGCAAAGAGATTTGATCATCCTTTGGCAAGATGCACTGATTTCAGGTGTTTGGAAACACCAGCTGAAGGGGGTGAATTGATGTGCAGCTTGCAGACTGATTGGGGTGCTTTTCTTTCATGTTGTTGACCTAGGAAGGACCACTGTGATAGCTCAGAAGGAAACTCTCATCTGAGAGCTCAAAGGGAAGGGGTGTCCATGAGGAAAACATGAGCTCATAACAACAGCATGTTATACCTTGAATTCTAATTGCATTCTTTGAAAAAAGCATTTCAAATCCCCATCCTTAATTTAACCTAAAAAACTAAATGGGTCCTCATCACGTTAACAAATATTTTGTAATATAATTGACCTCAGACAACATAAATCACCAGATTGCTTTAAGAGTGATGGAGTTAACCAATGTATGATAGAAGTAGATGCCAGTTCAGCTAAAACAGAAGAGTAGCAGTGCTGTGGTCATGAATTCACCGTTACCTTCGGTGGTGCCTGAAGGTGAGAGTGATGTGGAGTGTGGAGGTGATGTAAGGGAAGGAGAGCTGGTGTTTGCCAGATTTTCATCTCCTGCTGCACAGTGGGGAAAAAATATCATCAGGTGAGCAATGCATGGATGTGGGAAGTTCATCTATAGTAGAAGGCGGCCAATGGTTTGTATGGCTTTCTCTGAACCACATTTTTCAGGACAGATTTGGCTGGATACTTAAATATTTTCATTTTTGTCAATGTATTTTTGCAATACCAAAAGCTAAACCCCTCAAAATCTTTCACATCATCACAGAGCAGTGTATACAAGTACAAGCAATATCAACAAATAGAGGGTGACTTTTCACTGCATGAAGAATGACTTTCTTGCTAAGAAAAGATACCAACACTAATTCTCTTGTCAAGAAAAATCCTATCTTTCTATAATCCTCACTATACAGGAGGTGGAAACCCATGCCTCAGCATTCCTGAAAGCTGTTTGCTTCCCTTAATACTGATTTCTAAATGGCAGCACCCTTCCTGGACCATTCTGCTGATATTTAAGAATGTCTCCAAATAACTCTTATCTCTAGGTTATAACTTGAACTGGGAGCTGTGATCTTTTTACACTTATAACAACAAGCCTTATTTTTACACTCTGCTTTGAAATCTTGACCCAAAACATTTTGCGTTTGTGTAATGTAAAATTTATGTTAAAATAAATGGCAATAGTCGGAACCATGAATTTGTTCTCATCACTATATCTTTTACTCATTTTGAGGATTAGAAGCTTCCACTTTGACATAAGTATCCTGAAATCCATCCTGAAAGTATGCCTGTTCTCTTGAGACATCTCTCCCTAACACAGCCTGTTATGCTTTCAGCAAGGAACAAACCCACTTGTTCACACATTCCTTGCTGTGACTGTCCACAAACTTCCATCCGTTTGGCTTTTTTTCTCTTCCTTTTTCTACTTGTTCTTTCCCACTATGTTTATTTCCCAGAATTTTCTTTTTTTTTTTTTTTCTTTTTTTGGCATATGTGTTTCTTAGATACTACTTCACTGTTTAACATTTCTCAGCTTCCCTACATGGTACTTCACAACTTTTGTGGCTCTACTCTTCTGAAAATAAACTCCTTCGACCTTTAAAGCTAAAATCCAGGTTTATGTGAAAAACTGCAATACTTATGAAGGACACATGTTCTGTTTCCCTGTTCTTGTGCCAGCGTCAAAACCATGTGTCTCATCTCTGACACAGAAGCTCAGTATAGGCAGAACTCCTGAGACTCCAAAGATTTTCTCCTTATTGACCTGACAAGAAGCAGCACACATGTTGGCTGCTCAATAGCTACCATAGATTCTGGACCCCATATGGACAGTTCAGAAGACCAACAACAGCCATTAAAAGACCATGACAAGTGATGACAAAGTCATCTATGGAGACCGAGCAATTTCTTTATGCTCAGAGCTATATGAAAAAAAAAAATGAATTCAACAAAAGCCAAAATCTTGTATATACTTTTCTAGTGAGCAGTTGAATTAATTGTGGACTGTACATTATTCAAGATCTCTTCCTACAAATTAAAATTTGGGAAAAGCCAGTATGATTTTTTAAAGAAAAAGTATCAACTTTCAAGATATTTACTAATCTCTAATGCAAACATGATGCAGACAAAAATATATACTTCAAAATTCCCTCTTCCAAGTGAAGTAGGATATAAGCAAAAGAGGTCTCATAAGCTTGTCACAGTGTTGTATCTCTGGTCGCCTCATTCACTTCCTTCAGATTCCTGTGAAAGTCATTTTCTTTACCGACTCCTTTGTAAGGTTAGGAATAATGTTACTAGCTTAAATATAGCATGAGGTTTATTGCTCACTCACAGTGACAGATGCTAAATATTGCACACAATCATAGAACTCAAGATTGGAAGTGTCCTCAAGAGATCATCTAGTCCAACTGCCCTGCTCAGAGCAGTGTCAACTAGAGTAGATCACTTCTTAAAACACTTTGGAAAACAATAGTCCTAGATTGCCTGATTTTTCCCCTCCAAATAAACACTGGCATTTTATCAGAATTTTATGGCAGTTTTATTTCCTTTGAACCATTTAAAAGGTCTCCTGCTCTTCTGTGATTCTGTGATTCTTCTATTATATATTGTAGCCATGAAATAGAACATAGCTGAAAAGAATTCAATAGGTGGCACCAGAACACTAAAAAAAATCCTCTCAAACAGCAAAGCATATACATTTCCCCATATAACCTTATTGAGAGATACTAGGTAAACTGAAGGATCCCAACACACCAAACTGTGTTACTTCGATATTAGTAGCCATATTGCTACAATTAATGTATTTTCCCCAAAATGTCCCACAGATAACAAATATGTCTGAGCTAACCTCAGGTTAGCAAAGTTAACTTCAAAGTCAAAACTGTCTGCTCATGTTTATATTCTAAAACATAACTCTGGAATCTTGAAGGCTGAAATCTAAGAATATCTTTAAAATTTAATAAGGGTGTCCAACCCCCCAAAAATATGACATGCAGTGTGAAAGCCTGATGATTACCAAACTACGCAGGTTGGTCTGGGTTTAAACAGGAACTATCCCAAACCTTTTCTCAAATCTTAAACTACATCCAGCGATAAGACATTTTTAAGATAATATGCATAGGATAGGCTCAGATAACCCAAACAGAAGAATTAAAGTATACAAAAAGTTCCTACTACTGAAGGAACTTTTCTAAGCTTCCCTTTCCCTTCTCTTGATTTGGCCACCAGTTGGTTCTTGCTGACATACTTGAAAGGTTTGCAACTCATCAGTAATGTTTGAGTGAATCTGGCCGTAGTCAGGTGTCCTGCAAAAAGATACAACCAGCATGTCCCATGGGTAGATGGGAGCTTGGCTAATCCCTTTCCTTCCCTTTCCTCTCTGGCGACCAGTTGCAGAGTGCAGCTGCTGCTTGAAAGAAAGGTTTTAGATGGAATGACTTTAACAAAATACACCTAAAATGGATAAGCTGACCACCCTTTCCCCTGAAAGCTCAAAGACATACAGGTCCCGGGAGTGAAACATGGGATTATCATATTTTGAAGAAATCCTCAAGGACAGAAGGATGTACAGGTCACATTTGGAGATATGGGAGCTCTATATCGCTGCTGCTGCAGTAGCGACTGCACTCGCTGCAGCGAACTGTGGTCACACCTGTATAAAAAGTTACTGCTCGCTGCTCTCCTCTCAGAAAAGACTGAATAAAGTGAAAATGCTTTCCACTTGGCAGGACCAAGTGATTCAACAGAAGACAACTCAGACCTAGGATATGTTAAAAGACACTGAGTTTCAAGTAAGTCCAGGGTCTGATCTTGAGCAGAAGGAAGCGCCAGCACACATTTCCTGTGCGGGTGTGTTATTAAAGGAAACTCCAGCTGATAAGATGGAGGTACTGTTGAATCTGCATTAAAAGTCTAAAAACGTTATCATGTTTATACGGGAAAAAAATCCATTAGCTGATGACAGGGAACATGCCTTGTAACTTCATTCTGCTGCTTAATTTGCGCTGTGGGTAAAATGGGCCTTGGCTTTGTATGTCCTGCTGGGCTGAGCAGGGGGCTGTGCTTGCATGCCATTAGCTCAGGCTTGTCTCCTCTGAGCACAGGAGTGCTGCAGTATTGCATTCCTTCATGCACACAGGATAGAGAAACATGGCAAGGAGGATCCCTTTCTGCTAATAGCACCTTTGGTGTTTTATCTAGCATGGTGCAATACCAGCTGGCTCTTCACATCCAGCTGTACTCTGCGTGTCTTTGCCAGACCTGGGGAGGGGGCAGAGGAAGTAATC